GTGGGCGGAGGAAAGGATTTGGTTGATAGCAATCAAAACACTTATGGCGGCAAATATGTTATTAATCCGAGCGGTTAGTCAAAGGGATTACTGGTGTTTAGTTTGTGCTAATCTGTAATGAATGCCTATTTAGGAGGTTTGTTGAGTAAAGGACATCCATTAGGCGCAACTGGTTTAGCTCAATGTGCGGAACTGAATTGGCAGTTGAGGGGTATGGCTGGTCCGAGACAAGTGCCCGGAGCTAAGTACGTCCTGCAGCATAACATAGGACTGGGAGGGGCTGTGGTGGTCGCCATATATACTCTTGGTTTCCCAAACCCTTCGCAAATTGTTTCAAAACTTTAATTAGGATTTGAGTTCATATTTTCATTTCTATACGAATTGGTTGAGATATGCGGAAAACGACGCGTTTTTATATAATTTTAGATATAGTATATATAAATTTAATATAATTTTGTTATTTTTTAGAAATAATTGTTACTGTATAAACTATTCTTTGACAAAAATACTTTTGTATTTTCTTAAAAGTTTTTATTAAAAAAAGTGTCCACTTTTTATAATTCACAGCAATTCTTTGAGAGGAAATTAATTTTATAGATTATTACTTTTGGGAAATTTTTAAATTACAATACTACGGTATTTTGCAACAATCATTGAGTTTTGTCATTTAGTTTTAATGTAAACTAATTTGAAAACTTATATCTTAAAGACTAACTTGAACAATGGTTCAATAATTTAATAATTATTTTAAAAATAACTTTAAAGTGATAACAATTAATTTTACAATTTTGCATATATCGTATTAATGTTAGTTTAAAACATTGATATTTGTAATAACTTTCTAATAAAATGCAATTACAGTATACTGGAGGCGAATAACCTCTTAATGAATAGATTTGGTGTGAAAACAATTGTCTTATTTCTCACTCGAGTCATAGCTTTATACAAACACTTAAATACCGGTTATTTGTGTTAAATATAATTTACTTTTGCTTTCATTGAAAACTAAAAAATACTTATGGATTTGGAAATATTGGCACAATTAATGAATTATTTTTACTTTTTAAAAA